GATAGAAAACCTAGTTGAACATGTAATGAAGGAGAACTTTCCTAATTTGATGAGAGAAAAAGTCACACAAATCCAGGAAACACAGAGAATCCCAATCAAGAGGAACCCAAAGAGGCCCACCTCAAGACACATCATAATTAAAATGGCAGAATTTCAAGACAAAGAGAGAATCTTAAAGGCAGCAAGGGAGAAAAAGGAAGTAACATACAAGGGAGCCCCAATAAGGCTAACAGCCGACTTCTCAATGGAAACACTTCAAGCCAGAAGAGAATGGCAAGAAATACTCCAGGTAATGAGAACCAGAGGTCTGCAACCAAGGCTGCTATATCCAGCAAGGCTCTCGATCAAGATAGAAGGCCAAATAAGAAGCTTCCCAGACAAAAGAAGTCTAAAAGAATACGCCTCGACCAAACCGACTCTGCCAGAGATCCTAAAGGGACTGCTTTAAGGAAGGGAAGGAAAAGAGAGAGAGAGGAACACACGTACATAAAAGGCAATGAATAAGTACCTATCAATAATAACCTTAAACGTAAATGGATTAAATGCTCCAATCAAAAGACACAGAATAGCTGAATGGATAAGAAAAAAATGACCCACATATCTGCTGTCTACAAGAGACCCACCTCAGGATAAAAGACCTACACAGGCTGAAAGTGAAGGGCTGGAAACAAATCTTCCAAGCAAATGGACAGGAAAAAAAAAACCCGGGGTAGCAATACTCATATCAGACAAAATAGACTTCCAAAAAAGGTCCATAAAGAGACACCCAGAAGGTCACTTCATAATACTCAAGGGGAGAATCCATCAAGAAGACATAAATATTGTAAATATATATATGCACCCAACATAGGAGCACCCAAATACATAGAGAAAATCTTAGAGGACTTCAAGAAACATATGGACAGCAACACAATTATAGTGGGAGATTTTAACACCCCACTATCAAAAATGGACAGATCTTCTAAACAAAATATCAATAAAGATATTGTGGCATTGAACAATACCCTTGAGGAAATGGACTTTACTGATATATACAGAGCCCTCCATCCAAAAGAAGCTAAATATACATTCTTTTCAAATGTACACGGAACATTCTCAAAGATAGACCACATGATAGGATGCAAAACAAGCCTCAAGAATTTCAAGAAAATTGAAATCATACCAAGCATTTTCTCAGACCACAAGGGACTGAAGCTAGAAACCAACCCTAAGGAAAAAAAACCAAAAACATTCAAAATCATAGAGATTAAATAGCATGCTATTAAACAATGAATGGGTCAAGAATGAAATTAGGGAAGAAATCAAAACGTTTCTGGAAACAAATGAAAACGAACTCACAACAACCCAAAACTTATGGGACACAGCCAAGGCAGTCCTGAGAGGGAAGTTCATAGTGATACAGACCCACCTAAAAAGGTTAGAAACATTCCAAACAAACAACCTAACCCTACGTCTACAAGAACTTGAGGAACAACAACCAAGGTAGCCCAGACCAGCAGAAGGAAGGAAATAACCAAGATCAGAGCAGAATTAAATGACATAGAGACTAAAAGCACAATTCTAAGGATCAATGAATCCAAGAGCTGGTTCTTTGAAAAGATAAACAAAATTGACAAGCCCTTAAGCAGACTCATCAAGAAAAAAAAGAGAAGACCCAAATAAACACAATCAGAAATGAAAGAGGAGAGATTACAACAGATACCACAGAAATACAAAGGATTGTAAGAAATTACTACAAAGAGCTGTATGCCAAGAAATTTGAAAACCTAGGTGAAATGGACAAATTTCTAGAAAAATATAATCTTCCAAAACTCAATGGAAAAAGAAGCAGAAAGCCTGAACAGACCAATAACAACAAAAGAAATTGAAGCAGTAATCAAAAAACTCCCAACACACAAAAGCCCTGGACCAGATGGTTTCACAGGAGAATTCTACAAAGCATTTAAGGAAGAGCTAACCCCTATCCTTCACAGACTATTCCAAAAAATCCAAAAAGATGGGAGTCTTCCCAACTCTTTTTATGAGGCCAACATCATCCTAATTCCAAAACCAAATAAAGACATAACAAAGAAAGCGAACTTCAGGCCAATATCACTGATGAACATTGACGCTAAAATCCTCAACAAAATACTGGCAAACCGCATCCAACAATACATTAAAAAGATCAAACACCATGACCAAGTGGGATTCATTCCAGGGATGCAAGGATGGTTCAATATTTGCAAATCAGTAAATGTAATACATCACATAAACAAAAGCAAAGACAAAAACCACATGATCATATCAATTGATGCAGAAAAAGCATTTGACAAGGTACAGCACCCATTCATGATAAAAACACTCGGCAAAGTGGGAATAGAGGGAGCATTCCTCAACATAATAAAGGCCATATATGAGAGACCTTCAGCCACATCATTCTCAATGGGCAAAAATTAAAACCTTTTCCATTAAGATCAGGAACAAGACAAGGCTGTCCACTTTCACCACTTCTGTTCAATATAGTACTGGAAGTTTTAGCCACAGCAATCAGACAAGAAAAAGAAATAAAAGGCATCCAAATTGGAAAGGAGGAAACAAAACTGTCACTGTTTGCAGATGACATGATAGTATACATAGAAAATCCTATAGACTCTACAAAAAAACTGCTTGACCTAATAAATGAATTTGGCAAAACAGCGGGATACAAAGTCAATATCCAGAAATCAAAGGCATTTCTGTACACCAACAATGAAACAGCAAAAGCAGAGATCAAGGAAAAAATTCCATTTGAAATAGCAAAAAGAAAAATAAAATATCTAGGAATAAACCTAACCAAAGAGGTAAAAGACCTGTATTCAGAAAACTACATAACACTCAGGAAAGAAATCAAGGAAGACACAAACAAATGGAAACATATATGGTGTTCATGGATTGGAAGAATTAATATCATCAAAATGTCCATACTACCCAAAGCAATTTACACATTCAATGCAATTTCTATTAAAGTACCAATGGCATATTTCACAGACATAGAACAAACACTTCAAAAACTTAGATGGAACCATAAACAACCCTGAATAGCTGCTGCAATTTTGAGAAAGAAGAGTAAAGTAGGAGGGACCACAATACCCAACACTAAACTATACTACAAGGCCACTGTAATCAAAACAGCCTGGTACTGGCATAAAAACAGGCACATAGACCAATGGAACAGAACAGAGAGCCCAGAAATAAGCCCAAGTCTCTAGGGTCAATTAATATTTGACAAAGGAGGCAGCAACGTAAAATGGAGTAAAAATAGCCTCTTCAACAAATGGTGTTGAGACAACTGGACAGCCACGTGAAAAAAAATGAAACTTGAGCACCAACTTACACCATATACAAAAATAAATTCAAGGTGGATAAAAGACTTAAATATGAAAGGTGACACCATTAAAGTCCTAGAGGAGAATGTAGGTAGGAAAATCTCAGATATTTCACGAAGAAACTTTTTTACTGACTTGTCCCCTAGAGCAAGGAACATAAAGCAAAGAATAAACAAATGGGACCTCATCAAAATTAAAAGCTGCACAGCCAAAGAAAACAGTATCAAAATTAAAAGAACCAACAGTAAGGGAAAACATATTTGCCAATGATACCTCAGACAAGGGTTTAATCTCCAAAATATATAAAGAACTTACATGACTCCACTCTAAGAAGACAAGGAATCCAATTAAAAAGTGGGCAAAGGACTTGAACAGACACTTCTCCAAGGAGGACATACAGAAAATCCAAAGACACATGAAACGATGTTCAATATCACTAGCTATCAGAGAAATGCAAATTAAAACCACAATGAGATACCACTTCACACCAGACAGAATGGCCATCATAAACAAAGCAATAAACAACAAGTGTTGGAGAGGTTGTGGAGAAAAGGGATCCCTAGTGCACTGCTGGTGGGACTGCAGACTGGTACAACCACTATGGAAAGCAGTATGGAACTTCCTCAGAAAACTAAAAATGGATCTGCCTTTTGACCCTGCAATTCCACTGCTGGGACTCTATCCTAAGAATACTAAAACACCAATTCAAAAGAACCTATGCATCCCAATGTTCATAGCAGCACAATTTATAATAGCTAGATGCTGGAAGCAACCAAGATGCCCATCAGTAAATGAATGGATCAAAAAACTATGGTACATTGACACAATGGAATTCTATGCGGCAGAAAGAAAGAAGGAGCTCCTACCCTATGCAACAGCGTGGATGGAGCTGGAAAACATTATGCTAAGCGAATGCTAGGCAGTGAAAGACAAATACCATATGATCTCACCTTTAACAGGAACCTAAATAACAAAACAAAGAAACAAACAAAATGTAACCAAAGACACTGAAATAGAGAACAGGCTGACAGTGACCACAGGGGAGAGTAGAGGGAATTTAAGAGGACAGTGGGAAGGGTTCACAGGAACAAACTTAAAGGACACATGGTCACAAACTAAGGGGAGGGTGGTAATGGGAGGGAAGTGGGGAGGGGGTGGGGGGGGGGGAATGGATTGGGAGTAAAAAGGAGAAAACTGTATCTGAACAATGATTAAAAATAAATAAATATATAAAAAAAAGAAAATAGGTTCCAATGGCTCTTTGACAGAATACGGTAAGGCAAAAAACACAAAAGAAAATTGGTAGAACCCTGCAACCATTTACTTCAACCATTTATCTTTTTGGGTTTTATGAGATGGAAGGGAAGTAGACTGGAGAGGAAAGTAATGCAAAAGGAGGAGATGATAAAGAGGAAGAGAAAAGAGATTCTTCTCTTCTCAGGGATTCCGGCATGAATGGGAGTGAGCAGACAACACCTGAAGTTGAAGATGAGTTCAGCCTTAACTTTTGACATTGTTTCTGATAATCCTGGTGCCTCTGGAAAACCATAAATGATTTTTAGATCTGAAGTGTGACCTGTCCAGTTCTCTAAGAAGAGGCTGCTCCTACCTCCTCTCAGCACCCTAGGCAGGAAAGATGGGAAAGGATGTCACTACCTGGGCAGATGTGCTGCGGAGCTTCAGCAGCCCGTTCTCAAGCCGCTCCATCTTGGACTTGAGCTCTTTTCCATTCCTGTGCAGCAAGCTCTGGTAGAGTCTGATGAACTCCAGAAATGATTTGGGGGTTGTGTAGTTGTAGCGCTGCTCATTGTTCAGATAGGACTGGGATGTTTGGTTGACACTTGTGTGGACAAAAGCCATGAACTTGCTAATCGACTGCTTGACTGTGAGCTAAAATCAAAGGGCAGGAAATAAAGAGATAGTATTACCATGAAGACTGGAGGTAACTGCTCCTGACCCCTGCTGCTTCACCACATGGAAAATTGTTCCAACACTTCTATCCAAGCCTGAACTTGAACTCTGAAATTCTGGACATGGAATTTCTTGTACCCTGAGGTGGAAAGAATCTTGAGGAGTATCTCCTCTTCTCTCTTACCTCGATGCTCTCGGTGTTCTGTAAGAAGCGAAGGCTGACAGACTCCAATGCCTGCTGAGGCCACTCGTGAAACCAGTCAATGGCCGTGCAGTTCACAATGGCTGGGAACTTCCTGCTGCGGACCCTCAGCTTATTCCCCACAGGGGAGAAACAGAGAGTCACCTGAGAAGTCAGAAGGGTGGGAGAACCAAAAATGTATCAGAGAAGTACTCACAGATGGACAGATACAAGCTTGGATTTTTTTATTTTAATCCTCACCCAGGGATATGTTTATTTACTTCACAGAGAGAGGAAGGAAGAGAGAGAAACACTGATCAGTTGCCTCCTGTATGTGCCCCAACTGAGGATGGATACTGCAACTTAGGTATGTGGCCAGACTGGGGATCTAACCCATAACCTTTTGGAGTACAGGATGACACTCCAACCAACTTAGCCACTTGGCCAGGGCCAACTTTGGATTCTTAATTTCCCAGGAAACTGAAAGTTCATCCAACAGAGACAAAGATCTGTAATTGCTAGCCAGCCTTTCTAGCCAAGAAAGTGGAAATCTTAAAACTGTGAGGCAAGAGGGAGGCCACTGCCCATGAAGCAGATGAGAAGGGCACTCTTGCAGAAGCTGAGAAGGGCACTGTACCCTCACCTCCCACTTCCAAGACAATCAGTTAGGACAGTTGTGTCCAAAATATTAGTAGAGGTGTTCATGAATAGTCTCTGGTCCTGTCTACCCTGGGCAGTAAATCCTTGTATACCTTCAGTTGTCGTCGGACCCGATCTATAAAGAATTTCCAGCAGTTCTCTCTGTTGTCAACCAAACCTTGGCTCTTGACTTCATTCCTCATGTTGTTTATGATGTTTTCAACTTCATCATCAGAGTAGAGATCTGGGACCTCTCCTGGGAAGAAATGGAGCACAGATGGACAGCTTTGGCATCTGCATTAATGATGCAACTGGACATAATGTTATTCAACCTTGGGACACAGGTCCTTTGGGTTTCAGGCCATGCTCCACCACTTTTGCTGGTGAAACTGGACCAACACCACATCTACTCCAAATCATGGCAGGAAAATAATACATTAAAGGATGGGGCAGAGTATATGGAACATTATTGTCCTGGATCAACAGCTGGTAGCCCAATGGATTTCAATAGTCTTTTCCTCTTTTGCTTAAAGCATGTATTTACTAACTACTGTTGTAGAAACTGTGCTCATAAGGAGCTTAATATTTAGCAGGATAAATAAAACAGATGGTAAAGTAGCCATAAGACCTGGTGAAAGGGCCATGAGAATCATACAGATATGTCTATGTATTTAAGAAGAATGAGCTATCACACTATGCTGTATACCTGAAGCTAATACAAAATAATATTGACTATAAACTGTAATTAAAAATAAAAGAATGAGCTATAATCTTTTATTAGCAAAAAAGAGAAGAGAACAGGGGTAGCTTCATGGAATTTAGTATAAGCATGACATCTTAACTCAGTGGGGAGATGATGAACATTCAATATGTAGTATTAGAAAATCTGGGATTTAAAAAATTATGGTTGGATCTTTATATTACACTGTATACTAGGATAAATTCCAAATGGAATATAAGATCATAAATACATATAAAATATAAAATCATAAAATGATAGAAAATGAGGGAATATTTTATAATCTCTGAGTAGGGAAGACAACTGTAACTCAACATTGATATTTTTATGAATAGAAGATAAATTTAACACATATAAATGGATAACTTTTATATAAATATAAAAATTACATAATGAAACACCACAAGCAACATGTAAAACTCACAAAACATAACCTAAAACCAATTAAGATAACATATGTTTTCCAAACAAGATATACAGATGACTAACAGGTACATAAAAAGATCCTTAACATCACTAATCATCAGAAAAATGCAAGTCAAAAATGTCAGGTGATAAGAAGATATCACCTGACATCTGTTAGAATGGCTGTTATATATAGGAAAAAAACAAGAAATAACAAGTGTTAGTGAGAATGCAGAGAAAAGGAAACCCTTGTACACTGTTAGTGAGATTGTAAACTGGTGTGGGCACTATGGAAAAGAGCATGATGATTCCTCAAGAAATTGAAAATAGTACTCCCATATGATCCAGCAATCCCACTTACAGGTACATACCCAGAAGAAATCAAGCCATTATCTTGAAAAGGTATCTGTACTTCCATGTTCATTGCTGTACTATTCACAGTAGCCAAGGTTTGAAAACAGCCCAGGTGTCCATTAATGGATGAATGAATCAAGAAAATATGCTGTGTATATCTATCCATAGGAATATTATTCAGCCTCAGAAGAGAAGGAAATCCTATTATTTGTGACAATGTGAATGAACCTAGAGCATATTATGTTAAGTGAATTAAGCACAATACAGAGTGATCAACATTGCATGGTATCACTTATATGTGGAATCTTAAAAAAAAAAAAAGGTTGAACTCATCAAAACAGAGTAGAAAAGTGGTTGCCAGGAGCTGAAGGGTGAGGAAAATAGGAAGAGGTTAGTAAAAGGGTTTAAACTTTTATCAATTATAAGATGAATTAGTGAAATCATGATTCTTGACTTTTTCTGTCTGACTTATTTCTCATAGCATGATGTTGTCAAGATCCATCCATGTTGTTGCAAATGGCAGTATTTCATCTTTTCTTATGGCCAAGTAGTATTCCATGTGAGATGTGAGATACAAAACTGAAAGCAACAAATGAGCAAACAAGCAAACCAACAAAAACTCATAGACACAGACAACAGCAGGGTGGTTATCAGAGGGAAGGGTGCAAGAGGGTTGTAAAGGGCAAAGAGGGTTAGATGTATAATGATGAAAGATGATTTGACTTTGTGTGGTGAGCACACAATGTGATATACAGATGATGTATCATAGAATTATACACATGAAACCTGTATAACTTCATTAACTGATGTCATCCCAATGAATGTAATTAAAAAATAAATAAAAAATGCAGTAGAGAAGAAAGAAGATGAACAAGATTTGAAGAGCTAATGTGTAACATGGTGATTATAGTTGACCACACTATATAGCATAATTGAAATTTGCTAAGAGAGTAGAACTAAAATGTTCTCACCAAATAAGGAAAAAACAGAAAATACATGTTTAATTAAAATTATAGTTAAATAGCTAACCTTAAAATGTGAAGAAACATTCTCTTCTCTCTCTACATATATATATATACACATACACACACACATATCTCTCCCTCTCTCTCTCTATATATATATATGTGTGTGAGGATTTATCTTTACAAATAAAGAGAAAAATCAACAATCCAACAGAAAGATGGGGTAAAGGATACAAAAAGGGAGTTCACAGTACAGAAAGTACAAATGTTTTTTAAACATATGTCAAATGCTTTGCCTCATTTGTTATAACAAATGCACATTGAAATTATGCTTAGTTGCTTCTTGTTTGTACAAATCAGTTTGGCAAACGTGAACAGACATTCAACTTCACTCATAATAATAAAAATATATTTTTAATTACTCATAATTATTATTTTTTACAGATTGGTGAAATTTAAAAGTTAGATAAAATACTGTATAAATGAGGCAGTATATGGTAAAGTTTTTAAAAATCTTAACAAAATACATAACAATAAATACATGATGACCAACCTAGAAATGTAAGGATTGTTAATTATTAGAAAAATATATGAAAAGAATTCACTGTATTAGTAGATTTTAAAAAACAACATGATAATTAAAACAGATGCCATAAAATTTCTAAACACTATTAGCAAACCAGGAATAAATGAGATTTCTTATAATAGATATCCCAGCCAGACCCAAAGCAAATATCATGCCTAATAGTGAAAAACTAAAATCAGGAACAAGACAAGCATGACTATTATATGTTTTCTATCCAACATTATATGGAGTCCTGGGCTATGCAAAATGTTAAGAAAAAGAAGTTAAATGTATAAGGGTAGTTAAAAAATAATGAAGCTATCATTGTTCAAAATCTAATTTTCTTCATAGAAAATCTAAGAGAATATACACATAAATAATCAGAACCCATAAGCATGTTCAACAACAAGCCTGCTGGATATAAATTAAAATTGGAAATAAAAAGGCATTCTATACTTCAGCCAAAAAGAAAAATTTTTAAAAAGTTACTTAGAATATCAAAACAAACAAACAAACAAACAAACAAACAAAAACCCCAAATAAGGCAGGCAGTCATAAATATACAAAACATGTGCAAAGATCTTGATGTAAAAAGTATAATAGACTGTTGAAGGGAGTAAGTGAAACCCTAAACAAACTGAGAGGAATATTGCTGTGTTCATGCATGGATGATTCGGTATTACCAATATCATGAAGATGCAATTCCAATAAGAAGATCAAATAGGTTTCTGTTTTGATCCTGACAAGCCTATTCTACAATTTATATGGAAGAGCAAAGGGTAAAAATGGCTATGATATTTGTGAACAAGAACCAGGCGGGATTTGCCCTTCCAGAAATCAAGTCTCCTTCCAGTGCTGTGTTAGTTACATTGGTCCTGGGGTAAATAAATAGAACAATGAGTGAAACACCTAGAAACAGACCCAAATACAAATAGAAAATTGATATAAAAAATCAGTGTGCAAACAAGGGATAGACTAATTGATGAGTGATGTTAAGGTTAATTCAATACTAATATTAAAAAATAAAATTAGAACACCATACAAAAATATATTCCAGGTGAATTAAAAGACATTACCAGTAACATGAAAAGTAAAACAGTAATAATTTAAAAATAAAATACATGAGATTATTTTTATGGTGTTGGATAGGACAAGATTTCTGAAACAGCACAAAAAAAGCATAAAGTAAAAAAGCATATGAAAGTAAGTTTTATAATATATAAACTAAATCAGTATGACAGAAGTCAGATATGGACTTCAAAAAGTTATTTACAACTTGTATAATGAACAAAGGGTCAGTATCCAGAATACATAAAGAATACTTACAAATCCATAAGAAAAAAACAAAGAACCCAAGAGCTAAAGGGAAAATATTTAAGTAGGCAACTCATAGAAGAGGAATATAGGGAACCAGTCTGCATGGCAGTGGTGAGTGTAGGTCAGCCCTGGTTTGGAAAATCAACAGGTGCAAAGTGGCACACAGGAACCAGGCCCACAGATTGGCTCTCCCATGGGGAACCAGGCCTGCATTGTACCTAGGCTGCTTTGAGGCTTGCTTTTGCTAAAACTCCCTCACCTTGAGTTAAGGCAGCAAATGTTTAATGCATATCTTTTAAGTAACTTCCTAAAGTCTGTGCTAAACCTCCCAAGAATGGAGTGTAAGCAGTTCAAACACTTTTCCCCTTGCATTTGCAACATCTTTTTCTTTTTTATCTGTAAAAGGTAATCACCTAAAGCAAACCTGTGCATAATGAATGAGGACCTTCCTTGATGTAATCCTCCCAGAAAAACAATAAAAGCCTGTCTAGACAAGGGTTGGGGTGCTCTCTCACTCAGAGAGTGGCCATGCCATCCCTTTTTCTCCATAGGACTTCTGTAGTCCATGTGAATTTGTTTGTCACATCCATGACACCATGGACACCGCTGGTTGGAGTCCACATCAGAGGAATAGCCAATAAACACTTGAGTAGATGCTGCAAGGTCACAAGTAATAAGGAAAAGGAAAACAATGATATTTCACTTCATACCCATTGGCAAATATTAATATGTTAGATAAATGAAATGTTAGGGAGGTTAGGAAGAACTGGTGGTATTGGTCAGAGAGAACAGGCACCTGTATTGGTCAGAGAGTAAATTTGTACAACAATTCTGGAAAGAAACTTGGCACTTCATAGTCAAGTTGAAATGCACAAACCAGACAATTTAGTAATCTAAGTTTTGGGCACTTA